TGCTACACACAGGTGCGCGTCCAATGCCGCACCGCCTACATTACTGCCTACGTCGGCCGATGCGTTTGCGCATATCAACTGCAAGCAAGATATTTACCGTGTCAATTGTACAAGTGTTCATGAATGAGAAACAAGTTTAAATGTATGGCTATTCGATTCGTGTATTGTTTATTTACTTGTTCATTTAAATAGATTTTGTCTTTCGATACTAAATTGTCTGTTATTTGTCCGACTGAATTTGTTTGGGCGGTTAATGAAAATGCAGTTAAGTACATGAGATATTTATAGGTCAATAATATATTGATGGAGAAGAAATGGGCAATTTTTTTATTTTGGATTAACAAACAGGTCAGGTCTGTGAACGGTTTCCCTGGTCGGTAGGGCTCCCTTAACAGGCGTCTTTAAAAAGAGGTAATTTTAGATGATCTAGACCTAGAGTCACTTAAGGGAAGTGAAGCTAGAGCCCCACACTCTCCAATAAACATTGCATCAAAATGCGTTGCGTAGTTTAAAAGGTTTAAGCATAATAAGGGATATACGGACAAAGAAAGCGACTTTGTTTTATACCATGTAGTGATTACATACTAAAATGCCTTTAAACGTATCCTAAAGTACATATTCTCACAATATGCAGTGCATCAAACACTACACAAAGATGGCGTCGGTTAACAGAAAACGCGCTAATTGGCCGTCTAGGCGATCGCGGTTATGTTAACAAGACTACGCTTGCATATTCGCATCTTACATTATGCTTACATTATTCGTAATGCAAATTCGAACGAAGAGTATTGTATACACTAAATACATACATAACTAGGCAATAGGTAGAAATCACGGGATTCAAGCTTTGTACCAAATCTTTGATGTACCTCCCTACGTAATTGATGACCATTTTCAACATAATATATTGTATAGCCCCACCCCGACTACAATTGGTTTAGCCAGGAAAACTAGTTTTTTTATTGATAATCGGTTAGGGTTTGGCCTCTCTCCCGCCTGGTGGTAAGCGTTGATGCGTGCTACAATGGAGCACTCATCATAAGCAACCTATTCACTCGGACCTAGAAGACAGGTTATTCCGTTCTAGGACAGGGTCCTGAGTCCTGATGATAAATCTGGAAGCGAACCACTACGTGCGTGTCGGTGGGATATCCAGCATGCATGAAGCAGTGACATTGTGTTGATTATGTGGTGGTACGATGTCGGAAAGGACTACTAAATTGATTACGAAAAATATCTTTAGTCAGCTTGTTAGATCAAGAAACAAAATTTACTGAGAATATTTATATCAGCTATCTCTATTTACATTCGCTAATTCTTTTTTTGTTGTGTTTGTTATTGTCAGGAGAAGGTTCTTATCACAGAAAATATTAGAAATGTAGAAGGAAAGATTATGAAAAAAGACCATTTGATAGCGAAATAGTTGGACCCGTGCGAAGCAGGGGCGGGCCGCTAGTAACAAATAAATATTTTTTATTTCGGATCGCAAAATTGAATTTTACTTCAAAGATTTTTTAAATAGAATCTACGCATATCCGAGTACTCTGAATGATATATCTAACTATAAGCATATTTTTTAAACCTAGTTAACGATAACCTAGCAGTGTGGCAATCATCATCGTAGTTACGACTGAGTTCCTCAAGGCCTCAGAGTTGGCAGGATATCGTGTATTTACACACGTATCACGTAACTTGGTCATAGTCCTTGCATGCTCCACTGAGTTCATTAATTTTTTACATTGCTGTTATTTTATTGATTTGAAACAGAGCATTGGGTCTCTCATGGTGATGTGACCGATGGAACATCTTCCGTTTAGAAGGCGCGTATAGATACCTATGTTCTTTTCAATCTCGGGGAGGTCTTCCAAATCAATTTAGATACCATTTTGTCGAGTTCAAGAATTATTTTTGTTCTGTTGTTTTTTTATTCAATATTTAAGTACAATCTTCTTACCTAGGTACCACGCATCTCTTGTTTTTTTGACAAGGGAATATTCTCAAATCACTTCTCCCGCACAGGGTAAGGCGAGAGAGTGTCAGACTCTTACTGACTAAAAACCGCCCCGTTCCTTCTCCTGCTTTAGGCCGACCTTGGTTAGATTAGGTAACTGAACTTTGTAAAAAAAATCTCAATTAGATCGCAACAAAATATATTTTAAAACAGTGCTTATCACTATCACGTAGACGTAGGTGATTATACCATCTAGGCTTTGCTAGATTCTAATCTTATCACACCAATGTTTGACTAGCATACATCCTATGCAGTGATAAGTCATTCACCTTGCATTTTGTACCTAATAATTAAAACCTCTTTAGTTCCTTGTATCGGCAAGAGTTTTTCCACATGCTCTAAGTATGATTAGCAATTTCTATAGATTGTGCAGTACCTGTACTATGCAAGTACGCACGTACGTGTGAGAGTAAGATCTATGAAAGTCTAGCGAGACTTACAATGATCTTAAGCTGCTCAGGAAGGTAGGAACGCTGAAGAGAAAGCTATATGCAAAAAGTGAATGAAAAGGTACCTAAATAAGTAGGTAGGTACCTTGGTGCTTTTGGAAACGAGAAATTGTGCCAACACTTTAGTGTTAAAGTTTTAACTAATTTTTAAAGACTCCTCTATAGATGGAATGGTTTATGGTTTAAAAAAAAACATTAAGAATCTTACACAAATAGACAAAAGCAAATTTGGAGACTACATTATAAAAATATCAAAATATCAAAAATATTTTGGAACAAAATGATTTGGATACCTACGCGAGTAATTAAAATCAAATCATGTACTGTGGAAGTAACCAATAGATACTGCAGAAATTACAAAAGCCCGGGAAATGGATTATTACAGTCTCGATTCTCGAACATCATCCAACCTGCAACTCTTTTTACCATGCTTCAGTCTTATTAGCCTTAAACTCTTTACACCAGTGACAATGATCTACATTTGTGCAACGGATAATAAGGCCTTCTATGGTTTCTGGTCAACAAAGAAACGTACTAACCTAGGTTAGTTCTTTCTTTCTAAATAAATTGAATCGTGTTACTTGTGCCGGAATCTCACAAACACCGATTTATAAATATACTGTTCAAGGCCTTCCAGTGCATAATCTTTGGAATGATGGTCTTTATAGGATGCAAGGGCAATGTATCGTACCCCCGGCCCAGGGTAGGGTAAGGTACGGGTGGTTTTTAGTCAGAATGCCTGACTCTGACACTCTCTCTCTCGCTCCACCTAGGCTGTGACACATACTCTTTCCTAGTCTTTCTATAGATTTTATCTTAACAATCAGCTATAAATATTTCTATGATCTTAAATGAGAATAACTGACTCTAAGAATAATTTCATGCTCATGCTCATTCCATCTTCGTCCCCTGCGTCTTTTTTTGCGTCCACAGAAAGTAGGAAGTTAAGTTGTTTATCCATGTTTGTCATTGAAATGACGTAGACATCAAATACTGATGAGGACTAATAAATTGAAAAGGCTATCTCTTAAAATAATTCTTCAAAAAATTCCTGAGAAATATTGTCAGGTTTCTTTGATACAGCACAATACTTGTAGAGCTACTGGTCTTATCATATCAACTTCAGCGTTTTTAGGGTTATTTCATAGAAAAATTTCGGCTTGCTATCACATTCCGCTTATGTACCTACTATTCTTATTCTTTTAATTACGAAACAGTCTTACTTGATACATTAACTAATTAGTTAAGTACGACGCAACCTTTCTTTTCAGACTTTCTATCGCATGTTAGAATTAAATCAGCTACATTAGTTTTCACTTCAGCCTTATCAAGTCTGAATAATGTTAAAAATGCAGCAAGCAAACGATTACAGTAAGTCCGCCGGTCTCAGTTTCAGGGGTAAATGACCTGAATCAATCGTTCGACTCCATTCGCTATATTTTTTGTTACCTAACTCCGGTGCTCAGGCGCTGCCGTACTATGTATAACTCGAATTTTACCTTTTAATTAACCAACTTAACCCGTAAAAATATTTGAAATATGATATTCTAGAACAGTAATACGTTATTAATAACGTTCATTTTTTTATTTCTTCTTTGTTTCATCGCGTGATCATAGGACGTAACGGCTTTATGCCTTTGCCTTCAGTTTTAATGACTTCACTTTTTATTCGGAATTGTCGATTTAAAATGAATGATTGTTCGCATATTTGATCTTGTAAGTCAAATAATAATGTTAAAACAAAAATACCTATCTGTTTAAATCGAAGCACAATGTAGCTACATAACTAAAGTACTTAATGCCTATTTTTTGCTTTCTGACAAATCTTGAAGATGACGCGTCTACTCTTAAGTCATTAGTCATGTTGAAGTTTTCTTAACCAAGCAACATCGCGCTAAACAAAATCCACGTTGAAGTAAACGCTACTGTTTCGGAATTTATCTCCGAATTGGAAGCTAATTATGTAAACGTTTGTTTACAAAGACGCAGGTAAAGTGATCCACTCATTGACGCTTCCAGTCCAAGCTGAGAGACATTGATCTTTAGTAGGTGTGTGTCGGTAGGTATTTAGGCCAGAGCGCAGTCTCGTCTTATTGAGAACACAAGCACAGACAAGAAAATCTATTTTTTATCTTGCTCCAAACTAATTATCCGAGTGGAAACAATATTTTCGCGTCAGTCGTCGAGAACCATGTGCGGCCGACACTTTCATTTTACTTATTCGATTAATATAAGTCGACGGATTTCACTAGCCAGTAGCCACCTATTTAATTTTGGTACTGCGCAGCACTGAAGTCTTGGTCTGACGCACGGGTTAACGCGGGTCAATTGTACTACTATGTTTCATAAAGTTAATTTTCACGCGGGAAACACGTAGACGAAGGAAACCGCGTAAAAGCGCAGCGTGAAACTCCCTCGTCAATGCAGCGTCCCAAAATAAGGCGCAACTATATTTAGACGTAGGAAATGCCTTTACTACTGAGATTAGTTACAGTGTGTGACAGTGTAGGCTAGGGGAGCTAGTAGGAGTAAGTACTTACCAGAATCTTGCGCTCGCACGTTACAGCGTTTGGCGGATACGTGTTTATTTCACTGATATTATTTTGGTTCGCGTCGCCGCTCGTCGCTCGCGCAGATCCCGGTCGTGTGGCGCCCGCCCGGGCGGTGTGCCGACTGGCGCGCCGGTCGCGCGCTCGCGTTGCCTCTGTGTGCGTGTGTGTCGCGACACACAGCACTGCCAGTACCGGGCAGTACGCACCGTGCTGCGTCCGTCAACCACGACTGGCCGCTCGTGCTCTGATGCAGCCCTTCTTGACCATCTCCTCGTGTTTGTAGGGAAGCCACACTACCGCACCAGCCAACACATTCCCGCACTGTACACTGACACTACTTCACATCTGTGTTGTTATTTACAAGGAAGAATGTAGCACAAAGTGGCGAGCGTGTATTGTTGGAATACGCGCTGCGCACGATTCGCGAACTATTCAACCATTGAATTAGTGAACCGATGCGATGTTTGGCTGCTCTACATCGACTGTTACTTGGTAACTGCTTTGTATTGTCCGCCTCGGAGATGTCGGTAATAAAACATTATGTAAAATACTGTAACAATATCTAGGCTAAGGAGATACTAACTCTAGGCATTGAGTCTTTAGAAATGGATTTGTTAGAAACATAAAACGAGAATTCTTTAAATTCGTGTGAAGATGAGCTCATCTTTCTGAATGATTGCTACATTGATCACCATTAATAGCGCTTAACTTGAGATAGAGAAGATGGCAGCCGCAGCATATCTTACAACTAAACACTTTTTTGCCAAAATCCATACGTAAAAATCTACACTAAGCTACACATGCATCTACGGGACCAGAGAGCCAAACAGTTCAATGTAGATGCAGAAGCCACCTACACTTATTACCTAACGTTACCACAGCACACTTCCACCCACATCAACAGACAATGTCACGAAGTGAAAGGCTCGATTACCTGAAAGACTCGCGAATTGAGAAGCTCCTAAAAAAGTTTAGGCAGCTTACCACACTTGTCTGTTGATCAAGAACCGTTATATGCAATTGCAATCAGTTCATTGGATTTAAATAGAATTTTGTGGCAAACCAACCTGCTATTGGCAGTGTAGGTACCTATGGTTTTTTTATGTGCACGGCAAACGAGCAAACCGCATTTAACAGATTACTTGATGGTAAGCAATCAGCGCCGCCCATGAACACCCTTAACAACTAAGGAATTACCAACTTTTTGGGGATTAGGGATTTGTAGATTTTGGTTTGGAGAGGGGAAGGATTAGGCATCCAGTAACCTCACTCACACGGCGAAACACAACGCTGTGGTTGTTTTACGTCGGTTTTCTGTGAGGCAGTGGTATCACTCCGGTCGAACCGACCGTTTGATGCCAAAGCGTGGCTCTCCCACACTTTATATGTTGTTGTATAGCGGAGAAGGTTTGACCAAATGTTGCCCAAGGCGATTTATTAATTTTAAACTTATAATTAGAAAATAAAAGAACAGCTTTCCTTTACCATTTGTCAGTGACGTCTAAATAAACTTGAAAGAAAGTTCATATACTAACTTCTAAACAAATCACAATGGTAAATTCTTATATTGTAAGTAAGCTTATCAATTATTGTAGGTAAAGTCACACGTTGACATATTGCTTCCCCCCTCCCTTCGAGAGAAGGGGGAAGTGTGAAGCGGGAGACCGCTTCAACAAAAGAGTAGAGCCATAGAGTAAGAGCAGAGCGTAGTTGTGTGCAGTAGCGTAGTGGAATTGGTCAATTCATTTGAGTTTCGACGTACGGGAGTAATGGTTTGAAGACATCTTTGGTTGCATTATATTTGGCTTTTTCAGAATCTCCAGGGGGGTAGCTGCCATTCCCTGCCCCCAACCCTTGGCGACGCCTTTGACTTAGCACATATAGCAAACGCAAATTGAAAAAAATTGACACCACTAAGAGTATGACACTCCCTCTCGCATCACCCTGGGCAAGAGAAGTTTTTAAAAATTTCTGGGGGCCGTAACCCTCCTTTAAAATAAAGAAAAATGTTCGAGGCAAGTGGGAATTCAAAACGTTGTTACCTACTTAGCGCAAAATTAAGTGTTCATGCAAAATATCTTTTCAGTAAGATATTTGGATTTAATGTCTCATCGTCATCATTATCGTCAGACTCTTAGTGCCCACTGCTGAGCAAAGGCCTCTTCTCACAGGGTCACTTAGTAGTGACCGCCACACTTAGAGTGCGCCTTGAGCAAGCGTAGTCGCTTGTAGGCGGATTAGCGATTTGAAACTTATAATTAGAAATTATAAGACCAGGTCTCCTCACGATGTTTTTTAGGAAACATATGATCTGTGACCTCCGGCGTCTCCTGCTTATATCCTGATGTCTAAGTATGTCAAAAATCTGGTGGTGTGTATAATAATATAAGTTTGGTGTAATAAAACGCAAGAATATCACTCTCCACCCGTGTTCTCATTTACCATACGAAAATAAATATATTGGTTACATCAGCAACTTGAAAGCCAATCCCATTGTCTGTGGTACAATTTACAATTTCTTCCAAATAGCCAAGTTCAACAAAAGTAAAAAGAACTTTCTTTTGTAGGTAACTAACAAGCCTACTATTTGTGTCAAAAAAAACCATTAAATTTTAGAAATGACCACTAGATGGCGTTTGTGTCCTCTTAGGCTTTTAATTTACAAAATCAAGGCAAATTGAAGAACAAAAATGGAATAATTTATAAAAACTAACAAAATAACAATGCCCTCCATGTGAGTTTTTAAGTAGGTACGCCTTAAAAACGCACCATTACTAATAATATATTTTGAAATAAACATAATATAAAATACGGTTTTAATTTTGTATATTCACCCAGACAATGGGATAGGCAAACTTTTTATACAAATATTCAATTTTACAATACAGTAATACACATTTTATACTACAGACAATATTACCTATATGCTTCTTATTTAAAGTATCTATAAAGTATTTAATTTTATAACCGTACAATCCAATCTGTGAACATACTTGTGCGTTATTTAATTCAATATTATACATTAATTTATATTTGTATGTAATATCTATAGTGCTATGTGCCAAATAGGATGCAAGCACTTATCTACTGATACAACAACTCCTAAGTGTCGGCTCGAATGGAGTAATACCACGGCCTCACAGAAAACCGGCGTGAAACAACCACATCGTTGTGTTTCGCCGTGTGAGGGAGGTTACCGGGGGCCCAATCCAACCCCTCCCCCAATCCATCCTCATTCCTAAAATCTCCAAATTCCTAATCCCCAAAAAGTCGGCAACGCACTCGATACCTCCTCTATCGTTGCGGGTGTCCATGGGCAGCGCTGATTGCTTACCATCAGGTAATCCGTATCACATAAAAAAACTCAATGTAAAGGATTCTGGGATTGACATTGGGAATGTTACATTATGTTTATAAATTGAAAACACAGTCTTATATGGAATCCATAAAAAAGGGGAATTCGATATGATGTTTTTTTATTTCACAGATCGGCAAACTAGAAGGCGGATTACCTGATGGTAATCCGCCTTCTTTCTTGGTAATACCAAAGGAGTTACTACAAGGGCGTTGTTGATAGGACCTGAGGGTAGAGGTATCTGTGAGGCCGTGGTATCACTATGGTCGAACCGGCCCATCAGTGCCAAAGCATGGTTCTCCCACACTTCAATCGTGTATCGTATATGCGTAGTTGTCAAGTATCTATAGACTCATTGACTGTCGCTTTAATCCCATTTGGCCCACAGCACAGTTTTACCTATGTTCGATACTAGTGACATCTATACAAGGTTCGGGGTAAAGCGTTACTAATTTCAGCAAAGGTAAGTACGTTAAATTTAATACTAAATTACAGGGGATACTTACAGTGGGCTTAATATTAACTATAAGGAGTATATACAATTCATAAATAAGACTTATAAATGAGGTTATAAGATAAATGTGCCCCATAGTCCCATTTAGCGCCTTTTTTAAATTATAATCTGTGTCAAGAAGCAAAGAATGAAGGAGAAGCGTGCAAAACTAGAAAAATAAAAAGCAAAAAAATAAAATCAACTAATTTATTTAACTAAGGAATGTTCTACACTAAAATTAAACTAAAACTTACTACTTACAAAACGAAAAATTGAACTAAAAAATATAATAAATTACTAATCAGCACATACACAACTCATGTGATTGTTATGCTGGATAATGTTTATATTTTAAGAAATCATCCCAATAAACAAAATTGTGACATATAACACTAGTATGAAGGTTCAAATTCATTAATCAATGCTTTTACCACACTAATATTCTTCATACAAAAATCGTATCAGTAGAATAAATTTTATAATCGACTGGCAAGATGATGAATTCTAATATAAACATTATTCAATCAAAGAGTTTAAATGAGTAAAGGTATCCTTTGGCCTTAGGAAACTTGAGTGGCAGGAAAGGTCATATTAATAAAAAATGATATTATTTTTCAATTTTTATCGAAAACTATTCTGGTTTTGCTCACTTATAGGGACCCAAAAGTTTTTATTCTAATTCAATAGCCTATTAAAACTGAAAATAAAAGGGAAACGTCCCTAACTCGCAAGTGGCGCCATCTACAATTTTGCGGCAAAAAGTATTTTATTTGTGGGCTAACCTTTATATCAACTGTGTTTAGCTTAGCCAGGCAGATTGATTAACCTTGTATAGCATAAAATGAGGGTATTTTGAGCACTGAAAAAGGAAATAAATGAGAAAACATCATAGTGTTTGGAATTTTCGTACTTAGAAAAATAATACTTTTACTTGAAATCATATATATATTTTGAAAGGATCGTTCGTAATTAATTGAAAGTATCGGATCCCTCGCGTGAATACCAAACAAATGGTGAGAGACAAGACACAGTGCTGAGTACGAATTACTCTTATCGTTGCCGCATCGCCCTAGACCTCTGATTGGTCGTTACACTTGGAGCAAACCAATTAGATCGCCGAACGTCCTCAACAAACATAAAAGTCACTTGGCACTCTAAGACAGTGTCTTAAGACCAGACAGCGAGGGTATGCCTGTACGTAGTTATTTTATAATTTATTACATAAAAATTAATCTCAATTTCCCTTGGTCTTAGATTTCGATAAGTCCGGAGATTTTTATAACAGGCAAAACATCGGAAAATAACAACCCTTTCGCTGCTGTAGTCATGGACATAGACTGACTCCAAATTCAGGAGATGGTTCTTAGAAAAGAAAATTTGCAAAAGTAAGAGAAAACATCGAGAAATAACAAGGCTTTCAGTGCTGTAGTGGTTTGCCAAACAAATGACTAACATAAAGACATCTATGGTAAGCCATAGCAGGCCAAAAAATATTTTTAATAAATTAATAATGTCTCTCGATGGTTACTTTATAAAGTCTTAGCTAATCTGATAAAATTTTTAGACAAAACAGAATCTCTAAAGAAATGTAAGCTAACCAATTTAACATTATTCAACCATACTTGCTAGTAACCAAATATCTTACAAGTCCGTAATGATGACGAATTATATTTACTATACTAAGAACCAGTTTCATAACTCCTCTCATTTTTATCAATTTTCAACTTTAATACCACATTCATAAAGTTGAAAATAGACAGCTATAATTCCATTTATCTGTTAAAAAATAACTTTCAGGAGTATGTGAAACTGGCCTTAATCAATTTATTACACTAATAGGTACAATTAATAAACCACGTATACGTTTTTTTTACAATTTTTTGGCTGTACCCAATGTTTGTGTATCATAGGTGTTCTACACTACAAAACGGTTGAACTGATTTAGACGTAATCGCGCTGAGTGATAGATCAAGACTTGAAATAATTCTGATCTTGGCAACGCAATCAAAGCACCATTGAAACATAGATGACAAATAAATTACTCAGAATATAAATAAATAATTCTGTTCAATGCATAATAAAAATTAAAGTAACTATGTATTTATTTATATATATCTTTATAGCAATATCTCTGGAATAAACCAGGTCACGAGCACCGCGCATGTTTTTGAGCCCCAGTATTATTTGAAATCAGTCGAGAGTCCTCGAAAAGTTTACGTGAAAAAAAATGAATTTAACAAAACCTCCGTGTAGTTATTCAACTGGCCCTAAGAAGGATTAAGTCCGTAAAAACAGACTGAACAAAAATATAATCAAATAAATGATACACAAACATTAGACCCAAGTTTATAATTCATGTTTAATTACGTACTTAATCTATATATTTATTCTAAGTATTTATATCTCAGTAGTAAACAGCAATAAGTCACATTGTATTTAGTAAAATAAATTAACACTAGTCTGTGGGCGCTTCGACAATTTTATAACTATTTATATTGATATCCTGACATTATAACTACTGTATTCATCAGAAAGTTTATTACATAATCATCTCTAAACAGTAGTTTAAAAGATTTAAATTCGCATGTACGTGTATGAATTAAATTCGTGTCATATACGCTTTTTTTCTAGAAAGTAAAAATCTGCGACAGAACTTCCATGTCAGTAGAATCTCTATAGATATTTTTATTGTAGCAAATTCGTCTTTCTTGCCTAAGGAAAAGAGATTAGAATGGTCCACGACCACATAAAAGCTCATCCATTCCTAGAATGTAACATCTCTGCAATTGAAAGCATCAGTCATCTACGTCATGAAGTTGGTAGTCAGCCATTTAATCAGTATCTCAATACAAATAATTAGATCAGCTTATTTATTAAATACTGAAAAACACGGAAGGCGATATCGTACAAATAAATAATACGTTCAACAAGGTCGCTCATACATTTTTATTTTAACACTTTCATGAAGTACAGTACAAAAATGAACCAGTCTGAAGTGCGCTGCAATCGAATCCCTGTCTCACTTCACACTAGAGTTCTTTTAAATTTATTTGCATCTCTCTCACATACAACTAACTTCAGTATGGTTTATACACAGGATGATTTTAGTGTGTTTCGTTCATTGCCAAAATAATGTTTACACTTTCTTGATATCCACTATAAGTCTATAATTTTTACATATTCATAGATAGTAAATAAAGGCTTTAAAAACAATTGAAACTAAAATAAATACGTGTAAATATACACTATAATTTACTAATAGGCGTGTAAAAATAAATAAAATAAAATAGGGGCGTCAAATCTACTTTCATTGCATTACTGCTACATTTATATAGGTGCTACATCAATTCACAATAAACAGATGATAATGCGTCTTTTAATAAATAGTAATTCCAGAAGTCTTTTACTCTTTATACTCCTATTAAAGTCCAGCTTTTCAGTGTAAATATTAAATTAATCATTTGGCAAATATTTTGAAAATCGGTATGTAACTGTCAATATTTTATTTTTATACAGCTCAAAGTTCACCCTAAAATAAAAATGTGACACACACATTTATAGTAGTAATCTTCAAGCGAATTTCATCTCAAGCATCTTGAGATAAGGTCTAGTAAATAATCAACCCCAACAATAGTTATAACTGACATATTACATCTATAATTAAGAATCGCGAGCTTAGAATATTCACCTGGATAAACACGTTTATTTAGAACTCTATGACATTTGAATAAGGCAGTGGATGGCAATATGAAAATGACAAAATCACACCAACATTTTCTTCACACACACAAATGAGAAAATTACCGAATTTGCGTCCGAAACAAACACTTAAATTCACGAATGAACTGATCATATTTTAAATACAATATACACTATAATATTCACAGCGCGCACTTTTTCATTTTCTATTGAAACATTGTCGAATGTTTGCACAAATATTGGTATCACTAGTTTGTGATTGGTCAGTCACTCAATGACGATGACGTCACTGTCCATTGATCATTTGGAAGGAGATGTGAGACCAAGGGCAGCGGATAATAATCGCACCACGTTCTTCTGTTCCGTCTTGTCGTTATCTGAAACGATGAAAAAAAAATACGTCTATTAATCCTTGAAGTTATTTTGTGAAGAATGTCTGGTATATAACAGACACGATTTTACAATTGTGCTAAATATAAAAAAAAATGTTGTTGTTTTTTTTAACCTGATTACTCTTGGCAATCTTATCTATACTAACACTATGAAGAGGTTAAATTTGTAAGTTTCTAAGTTTGTATGTAGGGGGTAATCTTTGGAACCGCTGGTTGGATTGCTAAAATTCTTTCACTGATAGATAGCTACAATGTTCCTGAGTGCTATAGGCTATAAATGGCGCCGAGCAACGGATGAAACCGCGCGAGAGTAGCTAGTTAGTTATATATCTTTAAAAGAGCATTTTGCCAAGGAAATAAATACTTGACCAAAGTAAACAACTCGACATCATCAAAGAGTACATACCATCATCACCAGTAACGTGTTTCTCCAGATTAAGCTTCTCCTGCGCGACCTGGTAGATTCCTTCCTCGATGGTACCACAGCTCAGCAGTCGGTATATCGTCACTGGACGCGTCTGACCCATCCTGTGACATCTGTAAATAAAAACACAATATTTCTTTGAAAAAATCTGTTACTTTGCATATGATGATAGGTCATTTAATTTAAACATTTCCTACAATGAAGAAATTGTTGGATTCTCGCAGGGGAGTTCTATTTGGGGTCTGATGATGATGCAAAATGTAGTCTTAGAACATTTTTCTCCTCTGCTGTAGTTATTTTAGAATTGTGAATATGAATAAATATTTTTTATACTATATTGATTTATTTTAATACTTTTTGGACACAACACATACATCTTCTCTTCTCTCTTCTTAATGCCCAGAGCATTTTCTTGCAGTCTACCTTAGGATGATACAGAGACAGGTCATGGTAGGTGCATCAACTAAAAGAACAAAAGGATAGTTGATACCCAAAAATAAATGTTAAATAAAAGTCTCATGTCACAATTTTAGTTACCCTACTCCTCTGAATGATTTTTACTACATTTTGTAAGCAAATTCAGTAGATGAGAATCAGCTACTGGCTATTTCTCATACCCCTAAGTAATAACTAATTCTGGTCAGTTACTAAATATTTAAAATATTCCGATATTTTACTGACCTGTCCTCAGCTTGCTTATCGTTGTAAGGGTTGAAGTCGATGTCGTGTATAATGACGGTGTCTGCGGCGGTAAGGTTGATGCCCAGCCCGCCTGCCTTTGTCGACAGCAGGAACACGAAGATATCCTCGTTGTTGTACTGGTCTATTAACTCTTGTCTGGAAATGAGAAAACAAAATTATATAACATACTCCTATTTATTCCCAATGGGAGATACAAGGGTCCAAAAGTGCACATTTACAATGTTACACTACCAACTTTTTATCAGTTGTATTATGAGTCCTATGTAATAGGGAATAAGGTTTAACACATTCAGTGCCCCCGACGCGTATGTGCGTGCGAGGAAACGCACATACGCGTCGGGGGCACTGAATGTGTTAAGTAATTTTAGCATGCTGAGAAAATGTGTCATAAAATCTTCATAAAGCTGCCAATTATAATACCTGCATCACCTGTGTGTCAAAAGCATTTGGTGCACAGAACCAATTATTTACTAATGATTTTAACTAGGTATTTCTTATGGGTTATAGTCATTTACTTTGATTGTGGATGGCTCAAGTAAGTATTTAACATTAGTATTAGTATGCCAGACAAATATTGTATACCTATCGGTGACAGCAGTGCTGCCATCTAGCCGCAGATACCGGTGCCTGCGTATAGTGAGGTAGGGCTCGAGTATGTCGAGCATCATGGTGAACTGGCTGAACACCAGCACGCGGTGCCCGCCCTCCTTCAGTCGTGGCAACATCTCGTCCAACTTCTGGAACTTGCCCGAGTCCAGGATCAAGTGTTCCGGCAATGAGTATGATTGTATACACTGAAATAGAGCAAAAAATAATTACTATCGAGTTAGAAAATAAAGTAGGGGTTTAATTGTGAATAAAAAAAGAAAATATAAGAAATTTCAGAATCAAAAGTTAACACATCACACACATGGTAAGCAATCAGCGCCGCCCATGCACGCCTGCAACGGACGAGTTACGAGTGCGTTGCCGACCTTTTAGGGATTAGGGTTTTGAAGATTTTGGGATTGGGGAGGGATCGGGGGAGAAGAAACATTGGGCTTCCAGTAACCTCACTCACACGGCGAAACAAAATGCTGTGGTTGTTTCACTTTGATATTACGAGTGTCCATGGGCGGCGCTGATTGCTTACCATCAGGTAATTATCTCGTTTGCCGACATATGACATAAAAAAAAGATAAACTTCTTACGCTGTACTGCAGAGTGAGTTGATGTATCTGGAAGTCGGACATGCAGAGCAGGTCTTCCCAGGCGTACTGCTCGTTGTTCTCCTTGTAGTGAGGGTCTCGTGCCAGCCTCGCTGCCACTGAGCGCAGCGTACTGTCTGCGTAGTGGTAACGGAGGAGTAGGGGGTGGTTCGCCAGCTTACGCATGTCCATCATCATCGACATGCCACTCTGTTCTGTTGTCGCGTGGATCTGTGACGAAATGGAATGTTATTTCATTGCCTTTGATTTTAGAACAGACATAAAACATATACCGAAAAGGCTGAAAGGCTGGCAACCCACTCGTAACTCCTTTGGCATTGCAGGTGTCCATGGGCGGCGCCGATTGCTTACCATCAATCAGTCTGCTCGTTTGCGACCCACTTCACAAAAAAAGTAGCAATTTAAAACCCGACAGGAACAGGAACCCGAATATTTTTCTCCCGAAATTTATTCATACATACATAATTAATATCACCTATGAAGAGCATATCTTAAGCATTTTAATGCATATACTTTCGACGATTCGACGATCACTCAACTATAATGTTGAGGTAAATTAGAATTCTTTTTATAAAAACATAGTCTTATTTGGACAAAAAATACATGTTACACTAAAATCCCACTCACCGATCCATCCTTAGCAGAAAAGCTAGCAATAAGATTCTTGTACAAGATCCCCTGTCTCTCCGACATGGGACACAATTCCCTGTGATTAGTTTTCTTAGGCAAGTCTTGTAGTACATCGCGCTTCAGCCGACGGAGTACAAAAGGTTTCATGATACGCTTAGCCTGCGTTATCTGGCTCTGTTCGAAGGGCAATTCATCAGCTTCTTGCTTTCCTTCAGCATTTTTCGTTGTTTTAGATTTCTGTAAATAGGTAACATTTGTGTTAAAGATAGGTAAAATTTGGTTTGGAAGTTGTTTAGATGTGAAGTTCAGAGATAGAGCTGCAAAATTGTGTTTAAATAAATCAACCCAAGTTACTTAATAACAATAACAAATTAACCATGTTATAAACATTGTTTTTTTTAAGCATTTGACTGCCGACAAAAACTGTTGAAGGCTAACCCTCCGCTAGCGTCGGACAACATTGTCCGCCGCGGCGTTCTATGTGTGGTAATCTAGTCTTATTGTACCTGGTATATACTTAATGACTGATGACTCGGAATCGTAACATAAGATTCCTGTGCTTCTTTAAATCATTTTTCAATAATATTCAAGGTACACTTACAGCATTTTTCTGGAACAAGCTCTTGAGGTCATCAGTTTTCCCGGAGAACATGTGAGGCATGACGAAGCACAGCAGAGACATCAGTTCCAACAAGTTGTTCTGCAGCGGGGTGCCTGTCAGCAGGAGGCGGTGCTTCGACTGGAACCGAGATATCAATCTGTTATTTACCTACTATATTAACTTTAAACCAACCATCTCTTTTTATAAAACTATTAACATTATTGTAGATCACACAGTGTCGTTCCGTGCGGAAATCAAGCCCGTGGCACATTGCACGATAGCCAGTTGCCTAGACACCGCGTCAACCATGCCGCCAACTGTAAAGCCAATTCCCTTAGTTGGCTCTCACGGATCCTGCTGTATGAGAAGTGTGCCATGCGGTGAGGTAGGAATTCTACTGTAGCATCACGATAGTAAATGTTCAATATACAAACTTGCCTTTATCTTAAGCAGATTGTCATATCGCTGCGTGGACATATTCTTGAGCATGTGTGCCTCGTCGTAGATAACGTAATGCATCGGAGTGATGCGGAACATTTTGCGCTCCTCCGGGCAACTGTTCACCATTGTATACCTGGAACATACATTACGCCACTAGTTAGTAAAGTCAAATTAGTGAAAAAGTAAAAATATTAGCGTCAGATGTCATATTGCTGTGGTGCTACTGTAGTATAGTAGTTAACCTCGACGGGGACATTCGTGGCTGCCCACGTAAGTTATAATCCTTACACAAATATTGCTATAAATAATACAATATTTGTATCTAAAAAAAAACATTTCTATGAAATTCAAATGAAATTGAAACTTTTGACGTCGTAAAACATTTGCATAAATTAACACACTTATCTCATAAAAATTAGCAAAACCAATACAATAAAGTATTTATTATAAATCATACTTTTATGTCGAAATTTATTTATTTTTGACTAAGAAAACTTTCCAATATCAAGAAAAATAGTAGAAAGTTGTCGATAACTCACGTGGTAAGTACGATGTCGACGTCATCGAGTCCCCTGGCGTACTGTATGCGGAGCTGGCGACGCTCCTCGGGGTGTCCGTAGTACTTGCTGACGCGCAGCGCCGGGCACCATCGGGACAACTCGCTGCTCCAGTTGTCTGACACAAGCACATGTACCTTACTTACCTTTCCACATGTTTCAAGCAAGCGGATATCATCAAATTGGAAAGGATTTTAATGCAACAGCACTCATAATTATGTCGTCGGCGTCTTGGACACATAAGTTTTTTTTAATAGAATAGGAGGCAAACAAGTTGACGTATGACCTGGTGTTCATGATCTGCACCACCCATTAACACCTGCTACACCAAAGAAGTCGCATGTTCGTTGCCGGCCTTAAGAAGGAGTACACAAATAGTAGTAATAGTGCATTGCAAAAAAAAAACAAAATTGTTGACTTTTTGATTGAACAGTTATATAGATTCATATCCACATATCTTATGCCCAATTTCCAAAAGCCCAATTAATGTCATCATCAATTTAATCTCTTGTCAAGTCATCTGTTCGGTTGACTGAATTATCAACAATGATTATCAAATCAGATGATTTGACATCTAGTGAGTTGATTTTAACATTGATCGGGCTTTTGGAAATTGGGCATAAGATATGTAGATATGAATCCTTATCCTCCTTATCCTATGAAGCCTTTCGGAAACTGGGTGTTAATCTACCAATTCCGACTCCTACTAATAAATATTAATGTTTGTGATGTATGTATGAAAAACACACAAAACCTATACTAGGACAATCTGAACTAAAATTTGGCACAGAGCACAGGTACAGGTAACATGGCCAATTCCGAGAGCAGGAAATCAGTTGAATATAAGAATAATAAAAAAAGAGAGATTTCTTATGACTTACCAAGTGTGGAAGCAGGTACAACAATCAAATGTGTTCCTCTGGCCTGGCCGGTTTCCTTCAGATGTGCTAGGAAAGCTATGACCTGCACTGTTTTGCCTAACCCCATCTCATCAGCCAGGATACCAGAGACGCCCTGTTTGTGTAGCACTGCTAGCCAGTTAAGGCCTACCAACTGGTAGGGTGCAAGCTTCAAACTGCAACAATTTATATATTAATGTTATTAAGTTATTTTTTGACTAGTTCAGTGTCAGATCAGCAACCTTTTTACTAAAATTCGTTCATGTATTGTTAATTGATTGCATAGATGGGCATGAATATAAATTTCCAATGTAATGTATTTTTTTATAATGTTGCTCCACACCAGCATTTTCTCCGGTGTTGTGGGTGCATTTACAATACAAACATACAATTTCACATACACATTACACCCAGACCCGAACAACAAGTTGTAGATCACACCGAGTTGTTCCGTGCGGGAATCGAACCGGGTTGCCCAACCACCGCGCTAACCGTGCAGTCGATGTACTTGTGTCATGAAATGTACTTGATAACAAGCACAATTATTAATGACAACATTAGTAATTACTTTTTAAAAACTTATGGTTAATGTGGTGTACCTTTCATGCAATATGGCGGGTTGTTTGAGTCGGCCCGCGCCCGCCGCCACGGCGGACTCCAATTGCTGCGCGAGGACGACACACTTCTTCATCAGCCGCTGGATATTATTTCTAGTCGTTAACAGCTCTTGCGTGGAATTCAACAGTTCTGTACTTAGCGTCTTGTTGCTGTTAAATTTCTCTACCTGAAAAAAGTGAGTAAGATTTTAAGTGACATAAATTTAACTGAATAAGAAAAAGTATAGAATTCATTACATAACACCAGCGTCAATGATGTAGCCGTAGGCCCTTTCTATCCCTTTCCATCCAAAATCTCCAAATAGCCATCCTCAAGCCAAAGAGAAAAGGATGGCAAAGTGCTAGTGCTTTCTTCCTTGGTTGGACTTTGGTGTTAAATGTATTATGAAAAACTTATTTAAAATGCAGGAGGAAGCTTACCATATCAACCCAGCCTTTAAAGGGCCTCAAAGATATGATAGCTTCAGCTTTCTTCTGTGAGCATCCACTGAGTAGGGAAAGCTCATTCATATTACTATTGTTGAGGAATTCAAATACTTTCTTCTTGTCTCCTATGAGATCATCTGTGATCTCATTGTCAGAATCCTCACTGTAAAATAAGGTTGGAATTATTTAATGGCAACAAAAGTAAACAGGAGGTCCATGACATGCTTCCGGGGTTGCTATTGCGGGTGCAAGCACAACAATGAGAAGGAGTGAGTCATGACATCTCTTATTGCCGATGGGGCAATAAGAGATGTCAGACTCACTATCTCTCTCTTATTGTAGGCACTTACGCCTCATTCAATGCCTTTTCCCCCTCAAAAATGGCATGTTATTGGAGAAATCTTTATTAGAACTATGCACTCCTGAACCCAATAGGAATGCTATTTTTAACTCAAGTTTTTTCATAGGAAGTTCCTAATTTATTACTACTTTTATATTTATCAATAACAGAATTGCATTCACAAAACAAATAGTTTTTCTAAATATATAAATGAAAAGGAGTCAAATAACTAATAACTCTACATACCTGTCATAAACTCTATCATCTTTCCCTTTTCTGACGCCATAGTCGTCGTCCTCACTTCCACTGCTACCCCTTCTATCCCTTCCACCCTTGGAAGCCAAGGGTTTCCTGACCACCACATTCATCTTAGGTCCACTAGTCACTCTAACTATCCCCATATTAGTGTAATTTCTAGGTGCACTCTGTCCTGACACACTCGGTTTGGAGCCAAAGAAAGTGGATGTAGATCCTCTGTCATTGCTCTCAGGGTCATGCATCAGCAGCTCGTCCCTGGCCCTTTCCTCACTCCAGCCGTGTTTTATTAGTGTGTTTTTGACAAACTGTAAAATACAAAACACATATGTTGTTACAAAAGGAGTGACAGACACGTTAGGGATGTTAATTTTGTATTGAATGATTTTGAAGGCCAATAAGAATGAATGTTATGCACACTATTGTTGTACACTAAACATAACTTGTTAAGGAGCCCACTTTTCATGCATGAGATTGTTGACACAATGAAGTACCAATGTGACTTTTTCCGAGTTATATGTACTTTCTATGATTATTTAGACACCACTGACATACGGTGAAGGTAAACATCGTGAGGAAACCTGGACTTATAATTTCTAATTATAAGTTTGAAATCGCCAACGCGCATTGAGCAAGCTTGGTGATTAATGCTCTAACCTTGTCCATATGAGAAGAGGCATTTGCTCAGCAGTGGGCACTTAAAGGCTGATGATGTGTGATGTGAAACATAACTTACAATGGGAGATATGTCCGGGAACATTTCAAGCATGTTTCTAAATCTTCTCTCTTTGACTGCAGTTGTGAGTTCAACAGTAACAGCAGGCTTCTTGGCAGGGGTTGCTGCGTCATCCGAATCAGAGTCTTGCAACCGTATCCGCTTATAAACCACAGGTACATTCCTAACTACCACTGTGTTTGGCGCAGCCATCCTAATTTTATTATTTTGCATCATTTCTGTAAAGAAAAACACACTACATTACAAACAGAACATTTTTGTACTGCATATAAACAACACTTCATGCTGAATAAGGTATTACAACACCAAATGTATCAATTTCTCTTATCTTGCAAGTTGTAACAAGTTTTGTAAGCAATGAATAAAACTAACCTACAACCTAGTTCTTTAAAATAATATGCCTTATGGTCATGGAAGTTGTTTCTCTAATTTCATTGTTTACATTACTTGTTTCAACAATTGTTTTCACAAAAATACACAAATCTTGTAACTGGAAGAGTATACAACTCAGATAGTAAGTATTAGACTAAATTAGTGTTGTGAATACTCTTGCAATTACAGAGCTTATGTTTAATTGTGACAACTGTTCTACACTTACTGCTAAATGAGGGTTTGATGATGGTAAGCAAATAATTTAATTGTAATTGTGCCTTCTATTCTGCTTAGCCTGTAATGGAAATTAGGATGATGAATGGAAGTTAATAACATGATTTATGAGTATTAAAACAATGCCTTTCTAAGACAAACATTAAACATTATAATGATACCTAACATCTTAGTCTGACAGTTTCAGTTGCTTATATTGTTAGTAGGTAACAAAAACATTGATGATTATTATAATTAATATCTCCAAAAAATCTTTGATAAGCAAAGAGATCCTAATCTATATTGCTTTATGATTACATCACATCTCCTTACCACCTTTATTTTGCTACCCATAAATCTAATATTTTTTTTTTGTTGTTACACAGCTTACTTGGTTTTAGCCCAATATATTTATTAGGCTGACCATTAAACATTATCCAATCATAAATCCATTCCTCTTTCATACCATGTTTGTTTGATTCTTTCTATAATTTCACCAGTCATCCACTTCATGACCAGCTCTCCAGTTCCAAATTTAAAAACTTATGAACCACACACATTTAATTGTTAGGTAAACATAAATTTTAATCTGCCCCAAATGAAATTTGCTAGAATTAGGACATCACATAACTTCATTGCATAACAATGCATCAAAATAAATGTGCAAAATTCACATCACAAAATGAACTGAATAACAACAAATTCACATTACTGAATCTACAATGTAGATTCTAGGCTATTGATTGAAATAGCGAATACATGAACAAGAACTTGCATTTAAAACACAAAATAGATAAAGTTAATTTATTTTAATTTTAAATAGACAAAAAAAATGCTCAACCCCTTTAGAAAGCCAAACAATACAAACAAAATAAAATTTAATAATGTATGCCCATCAAATTTTTAAATACTAAATGTGGATTGGTGAGTAAAAATATGGCATCCAATCAATTGAATAGTAATTTACAAATGCAGACTTATTTCTGTGTATTTAGCAGCAGCAATGATTTTGAAGGTAATTCATGGGTAATTTATTTTGTTTTGAATATATTTCATGTTACTAAGACTCAAAATAGAAAAACAAGAAAATGAAGGTTGTTTGTAGCTTTTCCATTTTTGTTGAAAACCCTCAGTGTCTGGACTCAATTTTTAGACAAGTTCTTCAGGGTAGTACGAGTTTTAAATTGTTGTTTAAAGATTTTTACTAATGACTACAATTTTCAAATATAGCATTTGAGAGCTGATATTGTGGTCTATTAAATCGTAAATAAAATTCAGTGCTTTAATCCTGTTACTCTTCCTGTGCACCAGGATTGAACCAATGAATTTTACAACAATATATTTGGAAATTTATTACATGGTTATAAACACCATATGACCGGTACATAACATTAAACATAGAAAACACGGGTCAGTGAACGTGGTGATTTTATTCCTCGTGGTGAGGGTACAAGCACGTGCTATTATAACTGTGACCTTGTCCTTCGTATCACAAAAACTTTTTACTTACGAGAGCCAGAAGGAGCTGAGGTGACCGTTACTGGGCTGCTGGGTTCAGCAGGACCGTTTGGTTTCCTCTGGAACCTGTATTGTCTCAAAAAACTCAACACACTCGGACTTGTACCATTAGACATTGTCACACTTAATCGATCAGTTAGTCAGCACTTTTCTGAAAAAAAACTTTGAAGTTCTTTGATAAAAACGTAATAAAGAATTACGAAAAAATTATTAGACCACAGAAGCACGACAAGAAGACAACACTACGGCCATTTTTATCCGCGAGACTGTGAGAGACGAGAAAATAATACGGGCCAATGAAAACAATTGTCACTAGCTGTCAAAAATAGTATTAACCAATTGCAGCTGCGTTTGTAGACTTTTTAACAAATGGTATTACTTTTCAATTTTTAATGACGTTATCGAATAGAAAAAAAGTGTGGCTATACTAAAAAACTAGTCTGTTTTACAAAATTCGATTTTTAATTCAAAGGTAATTTATGTACACCACTGAGGGGTCGCTTTTTTAATATTTACTGTTTGCTAGGGTAGGGTAGACTTATAAAAAATCTTTTTCAGAAAATAAATCAAATTTTGAGTAGCTGCCGGATATGAATTGATGGGACTGTTATGTTCGATTCTCTGTCGTTTTTTGGCTGCGCCAAGTTTTCAGTTTTAAAGAATTAATGTCAACGATTGATTGCTAACAAATTGGTGGTGTCGGGCACCATTGAATCAGAAGGCCGAATGGTCGCAACCAGAGAATGAAAACCAGTCGAACACTTGTCCACTTATGTATCATGCAATACAATATCAGTTATCAGGTGCATTTCCAGCAGAATAACAATTTAAAGTGAAAATTTTATAAATAAGTCGATTTTAAGTCGGTGTACTCAATAGATCGAGGCAGTATTTTACTCCGAGGCATCGTACGCTAATTTACAAGGCGAAGCGTTGGCCCCATATGAAATACTGCGCTCATCTTTGGGTCAGTACCAGCTTTTCCCTCTTGACCGCATGCAGCGATGAGCCGTTTGTATCGTTGACTACCCTAATGTCCTAATCCGCCTGGACTCTTTAGCATTGCGTAGGGATGTGACCTCGCTATGTGTTCTATTTCGCCCATACGAAGATTAAAGGTTTTGGTTCGTGACCACACGAAAACCTATTCATCCCCATGTGGTTGGCAGTCAACCAATGTGCGATTTTCACGAAGTTTTCTGCTTAGCACAGCAAAACTTTGGAATAATCGCAGTATTGTAGAATAGAGGCAGTATTTACGAATCAATAAAACCTAAAAAACCTTCAAAAAACGTGCGACTCCTTTTTAAAAGGCATGTGGCTCCTCGGCAGCGCTGATCACCCACGATCAGGTGATCCTCATATTCCATAAAAAAAAAGATTCCAGAAAACTGTTGGAGTTATTCATAACCAAAAATTAATTTATAATTCTACATCTTTGTTCTATCATGCAACTTCTTTATAATGACCCTTTTTCTATTACTGACCCTATCCCGCAATTTTCCATATGTTTTTGTATTGGCCTCACATTTTATTTAGTTTATGTTTTGTCTGCTACTTTTTTACTATGCCTGTTTGTGACCGAAAATCTTATTGATATAGCTGGCTATTTACCCATCTATCAATAAGATTTTCGGTGCGTTTAAACCTTTTTTGGTTATTAATGGATATTTGAACAAAATCAGTAAAATTTGAAATAATTTATTTTACCTTTAGAAACCATAAGAAACCGGTTTTATATTCATTACCGGTTATTAAATTGACATTTAATTACGTCCCTGAAATTCACTGCTGCCACACTGTTTCTGGTTTCTGTCAGATTAATAGGTGCGGCCATGTTGATCTGTAGTGAATAAAACTGAGTTAATTTTCTTTTAGGGAAATAAAATTGACACAATATGCCCAAATGCGACCTCAAAACGAGATACATCCCAGCGACGTTCGCCTGGACTCTATTGTTGGGCACAACATCCCTGTTTTTTTATTTCCCGTGAGTATACAATGTCGTCGATCGTCTGTAAATTCTCATTTTCGGTTTGACAACTTTCACATGAGATTGTTGAATTGTTTCTATTAATATCTTGGGGCTGTGGACTTGCCCTGTGTGACTGTGTGTGGATTATACCTTTGATATGCCTGTGGCGCTAATGGTAAGAGCATTTTAATCAGATCCTTGGAGTTGGTATAGGAGCCATGTTCCATGTATATATATGTCATATTTACATTAATACAATATTAATGTATTAATTTGTAGGTGTCTTGAAGTGAGTAGGCTTCGGTGTGTAGTCGTGTCAATAGACAGGTACTTCCTGTGTGGTATCCAAATCTGTATAAACAAAAGATGTCTCATGGTGTGATGGAAGTAAGTCAGTCAACCTTAAAGTATTGTGCTGGACCCTATTGATTTGTTATAAGTTATGCTTTAAAGTTTGTGTGTTGTTTACATAGATATTTAAGTTATAACACAGTTATATGAGACATGTTGTTACAAGTTGTTCAGGTGTTATCTCTTTGTAAATATTAGATGGTGATTACATTAATAAATTAGTGTCAGCTATCTAGTGCTAACTGTCTAGTTATTACTTCATACAGGTTTTGGTTATTTAGGGATATGTATTGCGAAATTATTTTTATTCTTATTCTAATTATTTATACTTTGACCTTACTTAAATAGATTTAAGTAGGCCTAGACAATTAGATGTCAAATTATGTTTAATCTTAACTTTTAGTGCCATTTCCAGTGAATTAGATCCATTAAACAATAAACTTATAGGGAACATCTAAGGTAATTATTTTCCAACAAGAATTCAATTCTATCCATTTATTTAAAAAAACACAGAAAAAGTGGATATCAATCTGTTTTATTTGTAAACATTTCCATCTGGCATGCTGTACTGACACAATTTAAAAGCAACCAAACTAAACATGTCTGTGGTGTGGTTGGCACAGTTAAAAACCAGATACCTAATAGTGTGGGCTAATAATAGACTGTGTTAATTAATTTCAATGCGTAACATATTCTTTCAATACCATTTTGAATTTTATTCTTTCAGAAATAGGATAGAATTTTCAAATTCTTGCTGTTTCTTGTTCTAATTGGGTGGCTTTAGGTCTTAATATGTGTCTAATAACAGTTTGTTATTATCTCTATTCTCATAGTTTCAGTACCACCTATAATCTTATAAGAAAGCCTCTTATTAGATAACCCTCCTCAACATTTTCATTATCAAGTGTCAATAAAAAGTTTGTCTAGTTGTAAACTTAAATATTTCAGTACTTTTCCAACAAATTATACTTCTGAACTTGAAATAATCATATTTTTACACTATTTAAAGACTCTATATTGTTCAAAAGACATGGAAGGACACATTTAATTGATTATTACGTCATTGAACTTTATATTGTATGACTGACCTGTGCATAAAACTTGTAATACCTGTAGATTACCAATTTACACTGACCGTGACTTGATTTTTTTACATAACTGTTAAAAACTGGGTTAAGTTTACACCAAAGGCCGTGTTACACAGTGAATTAATTACCAAACGATAGTACTTAACCGTTATTTGATGCTTCATTAATTACTTTGAAACTGATGTAATTATCAACCTGTTCTGAGAAATATTCACAAATGTGTCTATATTCTCTGTGAGTGAAATATTAATTTTTCACTAGTGTTTGTAGTAATGTCATTGTCCTTTGATACTAGTTGTTTGTAAAAGTGGCCAAACATATATACATCTGGGCAAAATGTTCATATTTCATATAATAATATGTTGAAATCGTAAATCTCTGTTTTTTGATGGACTAAATAAAACCTTTCATGTTTAATCAAATTCAATGTTGAATACTTTCTTTATAGATTCTGTTATCCACAAAAAATTCTACAATATGTGTGTAAAATTAAATTTTAACCTATTTTTTTCACTTCATTGCATTAGTAGATTTTACCATTCCACTGCTGATAGCAAAAACTGTTCTAAAACCGTTTTAACGTAAAGTAGCTCCATAGCAACAATTGTGTTCATAATCTTTTAAGCTGTAAACATATTTTCTTCTCAAAATCTTAAGATGATGAGCCTATTTGCCAAAAAAATATTTGATTTCATCATTTGGCCAATTATTGTTTGCGTCAAATTCCTATTTTCATAAAAATAGAAATAGATAATAACAACTGGCTAACAGTTCATCCTTACTTTTACTAAACATGCTTTTTAAAAATAATAGTTTTAATATTTATGTTAATAAGATTATTATACTATAAGATATTGAATTAGAACACACAGCAGCATTAATGGCATCTAACATCATAGCAATTCTCATTACTAATGGTGAGATTTCAGACATGGTCTAATAACCTTGACACAGCTTGTGGAGTTTCCACTTATTTATCTTAATATTTCTATGTATGAAGATAGTGGCTGTTTTTCCACTATCTCTAATAGTATTATTGTGGTTAGTTCACTATTCCCATTAGTGGCTTTCATCATATAAATACTGATACAATATTTATTTCGTAATTAAGCTAGAAACTAGCACTTTTACATGTCAATTCTTCAAAATTATCTTGATGAAAACAAATGAGTTTGAGTCTATAAGTATATTCTAATTCAACCTTAATGATCCTGAAAGTTTATAGCATTAACGTTTTTTGTAATTGTTCTTGAAAATTAATCGATATATTGTTTCTTACTTATCTGCTTTATTTCTTTAACTCAGCATAATATATTAAACATGATATTAAAATAGTGTATTTACTCTACTAATCAATAATATCATTATATTTCCTTTCAGTTACTACGTAACTACATTTTCATAGTAGCCTATAAATTATAAGTAATAATAGTGAATTGTTATAGCGGCCTTGGGGCTTTATGTTTTTACTTACGACATTAAAAAGGTACTCGACTCTCTTTGGATTTGATGAAGAGCTGTATAACGCGAGCTCCAACTTCGTATTCCATATGAGGCTAAAGAAAGATAGGTCTAAAAAACCTATGTTTCAAATTTGTGCTCCTAATAGGTGTACCGAAATGTTATCTTTAGCCACAGACAAGGGAAGGAGCGGGGTGGTTCTTAACAGGGATGTTAGGAAGATCCGTAACCGTAACGTAAACTATCGGATATCCGATATAAAATAATATCCGTAACAGAATCCGCAATAAAAGTTTCGGATAATACCGGATAGTGGTGGCGCCTATTTGAGACACGTTTGTATGTATTTCACTTTTGAAATTCATTTAAATTTTAAGTTCCGCAACCGAAGTTATCCGTAACTAACGGATAGTCCGAAACAAATTCATATCCGAAATTTCATATCCATAACTTTTAGCCAGTAAGAGTGACTCTCACCCCATCCAGAGCCAGAGAA